AAAAAAAAAAAAGGAAAAAGTGAAAATCAAAATTGTGTTCAGCAACAGCAATATCTCCCCCTTTAGTTGGCTTTAGCAGCTGCCTGGCTTCGGCCAAATTGGATGACCATCGGCTTGCCTTTAAATACATAACCATTTACAACATTCTGCACAAGTACGTGTAGCGATTCAATCATCAGTGCCAACAAATTCTACAGCACACCAAGTCATTCAAACAAAAAGAAACACAAATCAATTGTTTTTGTGTTTGCAAACATACCAAGGCATTGCGTGCAAGTTCAACAGTTGGGAATGTAAGAAAAGCTTGGCCTCTCATTCTTCCTTCCTATATGAGGAATAGTTGTAACCACAAGAATCGAATGGACAGAATTCAATCATTCAAGAACATTACTACCAGAATAACAAATGTTGATGTTAGGCAACTCATGAAATTAAAAAAAAATAAAAAATAAAAATAAACGGACTTAGCCAGTTTGACCTGAACCTGTTACTGGTCTGGTCTGGTTCGGTTCGAACAGCTCCAAGAGTCGTTTGTTAATTTATATATATTCAAGTGTTTTTATTAATTATTCTTGAAAGTCATATCATCACCTACTAAAAGAGTATAACAAATTTAGTCTTTGGTGTCTTAAACTAATAATTTAAAAATTTAATGACCAAATCTATAGATTTTATGTTTCAATTTAGAATTGATAGTTGACACATCTTGCGAGCCCTAGACTTATACATACCAGAGTCTAAATTGAAAATTTTAAAATTTTCTAGCACCAATATAATTTATCGTGGAGCTCTAATTGACAATTAAACCTAGTTTTGATGACTTAAATTGTTAAAATTATTTTATTTCAGATATACTCGTGCATTTGCAGGGGTAACAATACTAGTTTGAATGAATATGTACAAATTGTATTGTGAAATGTCATACTTTCGATATGTCAAGGCAAATTCAGGACTATATTATAATAACTGATATGCCATAACTATCTGCTATTTCATTCAAGCATTTGTGCTTCCATAAGATAGAAGACTCAAAAAGGAAACAAGGATATCTCACCTGCATTAATTTAATACTAAGACTAGACTTGGCCGCATCGATGCTCCCAAAAAATGATCCTGTGTAACAGGTGATCGGAAGGTATCAAAAGCAGAAACTCGTGATAGGTCATGATTTTTAATCAAAAGTAAGTACGCCCATATGTTTATGTTTGTCTAACTGACAAAGCTAAAATCAAGCATGCAGAAAGACTGAACTCACCAAATATAAAGTAGAAATCGCTAACAATCACATCTTTTGCCAAGTTCTTAACATACAAAACCGGACTCGGATCCCCAGCAGTATAGTTCTGTTTATAAGAGAGAAAAGAGTTTTCAGTATCATCAGGCATTCATCAACACACAATTAACCATCCAATAAATTACTACTATTGGTTGACAGTAATTTTCAGTCAATTAAAGACATAAAATTAATTTGCAGTGAGAAACAATATCTTGCAAATTCCCTGAACTGAGAACCAACCATCCATCCCAAGGTAAAACGATAATATGTTTGCATAAACCACCCTTGTCAACAATCTCCACTAGGAAGTAGAGGGGAAAAAAAAAGGGGAAGGCACAGCAATACTTTCAATTTCCAAATAGCTTCAATAACTAAAGTGAGAATCATGCATTTTGAGAAATTGGGTTTGACATTTTCCAGTGTAGTAGCAACATTCAAACTTTTAATTATCAGCTCATCTATTTATTTTCAACGAACAAATTGCAACAATTGGTTCTGATACCTTAAATCTAGGAAGCGATAGTATTTCTTCAGGTGGCAATTTTCCGCTAGTCAGTTCCTCCAAGGTTGCATAAGGATGACCTCCAGAAGTGCCATGCTCTTGTGGTTCTTTAGTTGCATCATCATCATTCAATTGAGGTTGAGGTTGAAGTTGAATCTCCTTAGGTGCTATTCTTATCTGAAAACAATGCGCGAACCCAATATGTTACATCTAACAAAAAATAAAGTAAGTGTTGGTATATTATATCATAGGTTAAAGGCCAATAAGACCTGCAGTACAGGGTTCTTCTTTTTTATTATAGGCTTTTCTTTTGGAACTAATGCAACTTCTTTCAATCCAACAGCCTCATGAGCCACGTTGCTGTCGACACCAGGGCCTACAATCACTTGTCTCTTGACACGCTTTCTACTAGGTCTAGCCACTCTTCTGACATCCTAAACCAAAGAATGATTACACATTTAACATCAATGAAAATTTCCTTTAGAATGTAAATATGCAGAACAGATGAACAATAAGGAAAAGGGCAATAAAAGTAAAGGAGATCATAGCAATGAGTAGAAAACCACCTCATCAGAAGACTCCATTTCTGACTCACTACTATATAAATCATCCATCTTAGTCTCTGAGGATGATGGGGGAGGTGGCGGAGGAGGAGCAGGAACTGATACTGGAAGAGGTGGTGTAGGCAGTGCTTTCCGAAATGGAGCAGGAATATTCATTTTGTTCATCAAATGCAAAACCTTTATTCCATCAAGATAGATAAAAGGATGGTGTAGCAATTATTATGAATACCCGACCAAGATGAGCAGTGATAAATTAAATATGAGAAACAGCAAGAAAGACAAGGATATAAGGGAAAAATCATTGTGACCTGTGTGTAGAAGCGGGGAACAGCGATAAGAGCATTAACAATGTTGGTTAGAATGTGTCCATCGGGTGGTGGGTATGCATATCTGTATGTTGGCTAGTGAGTAGATGGATAAAGAGACCAAAGATGAACTTAGTACATATAACTAAGTAGAGCCTATTTCAAGTATCCCTCTAAAACAACAAAACACTTTTCAATAAGTAGCTAGATATCAAAGAAATTATTTTTTTTTAAAAAAAATAAAACAATAGAAAGTGGAAGCTCATTGAAAAACTGAGAAAGAAAATACAGGAATGATGTTGAAAGAAAAATATATTTCCAAAAATTCACAAGCTACAACATACTCAAGGTGGGGAGGAAATGGATAATCAACACCAAGTTTTCCAGCAATGGGTTGGGAAGCATGAATATAACCAGCTCTTTCATTATCACTAGAACCTCTTGGGACTGAACTGTCTTTAATTTTTGAAGTAGAGTCCTTCCTAATCTCCTTCCCACATTCTTGATGCTTAGTGTTCTCGGCTACTTTACTAGCTCTTTCAACAGACAACACTCTACCAAGAAACCGTAATCTGCCATGCATAATTTAGTTCAGAGAAGCAATATATGATAAGCCCAATGGCTTATAAGAATGAGGACTTCATTTTTTTTAATGAAGTTAATAAGGTAGGATGAGAAGGTAATGAAGGAGTACCCATGCAGCTGCTTTTGAGCTTGAGAAGCTGCTATTTCATTACTGAAATCAACGAAAGCACAATTTTTTACCCTGCATTTAAGTATATAGCTACACTCTTAGCAGCAAAAGAGTAACGAAAATGGAAATGAGAAACCATCAATCAAGAGCAAATTCTGGTCGGTTAAGAGAAAACAAGAAAAACTAAAAGCCAACAGAAATTGTGCCCCAGCAAAAACATGGAAGAAGAACATAACATGAAAGAAACAAACCACAATTTGGTGTGCATAATAATAGGTAAGCAAGCAAGCAACCTTCCAAAAGAAGAGGGACGAACAGAAGAGGCGCCAAAATGAGAGAAGAGTCTATGAAGGGTCTCAGGTGGAATCGCCTCTGGGAGATGGCGGACCAGCAGTGTAATCGATGCTTCTTCTCGAGGATGCCACATATTATGTACTGGTTCGGCCTCCGCCATAAGTTTTTTCACTCGATTAAATTTCACGCAGACATATAAATCGGAGAATTGACATTGAAGAGAATCCAAGTGCGGTGAGTTTAGATGAGTTGCAGCTGCCGATTCGAGTGGAAGAAACTAGTTGCGACTTGCGACCGCAAAGCCTACACCATACAATATTTAACTAATATGGTTATATATATTTTTAATCTTTAACACATGTGAAATAAAAAGAAGAAAAATTCAAATTTTATATACTTAAAAAATGGCCAGAAACATATGTTAATTTTGATCTATCTTAAAAAAATTTACTTGGACAGATTTTTCTATGTGTTGTTTACTTGTTTTTACGTCATTACTGCAGGTTACAGCATGAATGTTTTGAATACAGCCAAAGCACAAAAGTTTGTCACTTGCTTATAAATAGTTAAAAGCACACAATTGCAGTTAAAATTTCTTAAGAAGACTTTATTATCCAAATCCAAGTTAAATGAACAAATTCAACAAAGTAACACCGAAATATCCTCTGTTTCACCATCAGTTCAGCATTTCTCATAACTATAAGATCATAAACCTAATTCAAAGATAAAACCCAATCTTTAATTTTTTTTTTTTTTTTTAATGTAGTAATTACTAATTACCATCAAATCTGCAGTGGAGTAGCGTCGAGTCGGGGGCCGCGGGCGTCGAGGCGGCGGAAGCGGCGAGGCGGCGGAAGCGGCGAGAAGTCGGAGGCGGCGAGAAGTCAGAGGCTGTGTCTCAAAAACGGGGAGGCGGATTTCACAGAGAAGAGGGCCGAGGCGAACGGTCCGACGGCGGCTGGTGGCTGGTGCCTGAATGGCGACTGCCTGGTGGTGGTGGGCTTAACCGGATGGTGAATACCGTGAATTTGAGAGAGGGAGACGGGAAGAGAGGCGAGATTGATGAGGAAATTAGTCCCAAGAATAAATTTGTACAAATAACCTTTGACCAAAAGCCTTCAGAAAAGGGTACGGGCCCGGCAATTACTTTTATTTATTTTTTCTTTTACGAAATTATAAAGATATTATTTTTTTTAGTATTATAACTCAAAACGAACCAAGTTCGAGCAATACAACACAACAACGAAACAAAAAAATGAAAGGACACGCATCTAGCAGCCTAGAACCTCAATCAATCTACTACTAGAAAACCACAACAAGAAAACTCCACTGCCCAAGGGCCTAGAGAAGAAACCGACCAGGAAGCTAAAAACAAAAACAAAACACAAAACAAACTAAGAGAACACAGAAAAGAAAAGGCACAACTAAAGAGCATGCTACAAATCAGCAAAAGCCATCCATTCTTGGTGAGCAATCTGCAAGGTGACTGGAATAGGCATAAGAACATCTTGGAAAATGCAGAGGTTGCGACTTCCAGAGCCACCAGAGAATGTAGGTTGTCAGTTGCATTCGAGCCTCTGATGTCTCTGATGCATCAAGAGAGCATATTTCATGCCACCAGCTTCTAGAGGAAAGGTTCTGATCAGGCAGCTTGCTCCAAGACAGTTGAGATAGTTTCCACATATTAGCAGCTCTTGAACAGGAGAACAAAACATGAATGATTGATTCTGGCTCCTCACCACAAATATTGCAGATTGCATCCACTTTCAGGCCTTTCTTGATGAAATTAACTTTAACTCGGAGTGCTTCAGAAAGACACTTCCATACAAAAAGCTTAACTTTACTAACCACCTTGAGTTTCCAGGGTCTCTGCTTAATCTTGGGAAGTGAAGGGCCAGCAAGTGAGCTACAACCGGGTAAATCCATAGCAAGCATCTTATGATTAGACAAGAATGAGTAAGTGCTAGCTACTGAAAATTCACCTTTCTTATTGAACATCCAATACTTTCAGTCATCCTTGTCAGCCTTAAGAGAGTTGATTGCAAGAATGGCTTCACTATCCTGAGCATTAAACACTTGCTTGACCAACCATTCATTCCATCCAGTCCCAGATGCATTGAGGAGATCCTTCACCCAGATTAGGTGGCCTCTAGCCAGGTTCAAAAGCTCAGGTTTAGGCTGAATTAGGTTGGGAACCCAGTTGACATCCTCCAACCTAGTTGTTGCTCCATTCCTAATCTCAACTGCATATCCTTTAGCAAATGTAGGCAGCACCATTGTTGTAAATATTTTTACCGGAGTAGAATCGAAAGATTCGAGCACCGGGTCGTATCGCAAGGAAGGTCAGTCGGAATATTAAGCACATTTATTCAAACACGAATAAAAGAAATAAACATCCTAAATATTCTAATTCAAATGATTGGTTGTGTGTAATTATCAACTACTGCGAGAATTAAAATAAGGCTAATAAATAACAAGCGAACACGTAGAGCAAATGAAATTAAAGAAGCTAGGGAGTCGGGGATATCCGTTTTGGTTCGAAATGCAATTAGTGGGCAGGTGATTGTTCAGTTAAGTGATTTGAATAACTGGCACGTTCAAGTACTCATTCTCAATAACTTTTCGTAACAACAGAGCAAACTAAAACGGCTAATTAACAATTCAATAACTTCTAGGCAATACAGTTATGAACAAGCCTAGTTCATATGAGTCTATTTCGACCGACTCTTCCCCTTTCGGTTCTAAGAGGCGATTAACTTGGACTAGAAGATAATTAATCAGCTAGCCCGTTTAGAATTAACAACATCAATCATGAATTTATCAAAATCAATTGAAACAATTGCAAGTTGAAGTGTCACCCTTCAACAATTCTCAAAATCCAACATAATAATTGAAAACCCTAATTAAAGAACGACTCATACAAATTGAACAATCACGAATCCACAATCACAATCGAGACCAAAATGATAATCCCCTATTCCCTAGCATAAGGATTTAGCTATGCATAATCGAACAATCAACAAAAATAATTATCGCATCCCAAGAATTCATAGTTAACGATTAAGATAAAAGAAACCTTACGATTGATAATTTTCAAAGTTGAATTCGATAAACACGATTGAATCCGAAAGCAATAGCAAAAACCTGATGTTTAATTCTTGTTCTACGTTCAAAATAATGAAAGAACGATGAAAAACCAATGAAAAAGAGAGAGGTAGGGTTTTTAGTTCTGTGCGAGAGAGATAATAATTTTAGTCACGATCGATCTTATTTATAGTTCACGACATCTCAACGCGACAATGAAGCTTCACGGCGTGGCAGGTACAGGTGCAGCAGCGCGGTGCTACATCACGGTGCGGCACGGAGTGTCTTGGGAAGCAGCTTCACGGCGCGGCAAGCTTCTCGCGGCGCGGAGGATGGTTACGGCGCGTCGCCTGGAATACTTCGTTCTCTGATGGTCTCGGGTGCACGACGCGGCACGACATAGCAGGTCTTCTTCATGGCGCGGTGGTCCTCTCGATGCTGCCTGGGAGAAGAAACAGCAGGTGCTGCGGCGCGGCACACCGGCACGGCGCGACAGGTAAGGTCTTCGCAGCGCGATGGGTCTTCTCGGCGCGGTGCTGGGACCTGGGTCTTCTGTCCGTCACGGGGCACCAGCGCGGCGCGGTGAGGGTCTGATGGGCACGACGCGGGAGCCGACACGGTACGGTGGGACGTCTGAGTTCTCAGTCCATCCCGAGGTAGCGACACGGCGCGGTGACTGGGCATCTCGGGCCTAAATGCGTTGCTTCGCGTATTATCTCCGTTCGAGCTCGTACGACCTCCGAATTTAGTTCTGTTTTCTCCCTTGTACTCCCAACGAAATTCTCTCTTTAGCCATGTTCTCCTGGTCCCTTTACCATGGAAATCAAATTTTCTTGAATCCTATAACCTGGACACCAAAAACGACACACAACCGGAAAACGGCCGAGAAAATACCAGAAAAGCTGAAATAAAGAAAAACACGAAATAAACCATAAAATAAACTAAAACTCAACTAAACGACTCAAAATGAGAAAAAAGAAAGGCAAAAAGATAACGAAAAACGCAACAAAAATGGGACAAACAACTCCCCCACACTAAAACCTTTGTTCGTCTCGAACAAAAAGAAAAGAAAAGACACGAAAACAAGCAAACGAGCATGGATAACAGTTTCAAATAAAACAAGCCTCAGATTAATTAACTCATCCGAGGAGAATTCAAATGACCAATATAGCACACCTCAATTACGACTCCAATGCAACACTTTGAAAAGACAAACTCTCAAGCACGGAAGTGTAAATGTATATGCCTCACTCGATTTCTTTCATGAGTATAAAACTGGGACGCTCAAATTGGTCGATCATCATGCATCAACATAAACTTGCTTATCATCTATTCATACTCTAAAAAAACCAAAGCATGAACTGTAAATCAAGAGGACTTTCGGGGTTGCATTGTAGGCATCAAAGAAAGGAACAATATAAAGATAAAGTGGTCCAAATAGACAATCACATCCTCGAGCATATACACTACTCGAAACCTCACCACCTATCCAAAGTAAGCACAAAAATCAATTATTCCCATCAAAGCTCCATACAACACTCATATATGCTCAACTGAATTGCACTTCAAGTACTCGACTTTTTTTCTTTTTTTTCGATTTTTGTTTGTTTGTTTGTTTGTTTGTTTTTTTTAACAAAACCGAGACGTAAGGATGACATTCTCTAGGTTTAAACAGTGGAGGTCATCCAAGTTTCCTAGAGTAGTTTCCCAATACTCATTACTCGTGAAAAATTCCACAAGTAAGCGGAGTAGAATCCTTTTCGTCCATCTTGCGGTTTCCCTTTTCTTTTTTTTTTTTTTTTTTGGTCAAGTACCTAAAATGCAACTCAAATAAGTTATACCTTTTCTCCAACACATAACAGAAGCTCCGTCAGCAAAATAACTAAATAGTCAAATCCCAAGAAATTCAATCAATACGGTTGACAAGAAATACGGTTCAGGCTCAACGGGCTACTAATGAACATTTCACATCAAGGGTCAAAGAAAAAGGCTAAACGAGCACTGTCAAAGAAATGCCTCAATCATATTCACAGTTCACTACTTCACCAAATTCATTTCAAAATAAACTCAAAGCAA